CCTTTTGACTCACTTTATCTTTAGCTACATCATAACATTAAACATTACCAGAAAGCAAATGGGTTTGGACTCTTAAAAAAAAAAAAAGGTGGTGGGACTTTTATAGAATAAAATATACTAAACAGGCTAACAATCAAATGCAATCTTTGACTGCATCCTGGTTTTTACCAAACAACTATAACTTTTCTGTGTGCTTGAAATTTTCAAAGCAGAAAGTCAAGGGGAAAAACAAAACAATACAATTTCAGCTTCACCTCTGAAAGTATTGCCTGGGGTTGTGTTTTGGTGGTAACCCAGAGCAAAGGAACTACCTTAAAACTTGTTTTCTGAGAAGCAGTGGTGACTGAGGGCACCATTATAGCTCTGTGCATCTTTGGTAAAATGTTTGCCACAGTGCCTTACAGGAGTTGAAACAATACTTCTCAAGGGCTAAGATAAAAAAAAAAGGGGGGGGGGGAGGGGGAATGGGGGAATTTACAAGGTAGTAGAAGCCCTTCCTGGTTATGAAACATGTTCATCAGCCTGACGCTTTAATTATAACCTCTTTGGAGTTCATGGTATGTTGTCTTCATTAATCCCCAATCAGAGGACTGAGTCACCAAAATAAAGCTGCAAGACTTACGCACACGGGGTTTCTTATTGAACAGAGCCTCCGCTTCCAGGGGCAGGTTACTTGACATCCTCTGCCCTTTGTGCTGAGGTGTCCCAGCCCTTCCAAGCCAAAAGGCAGAGCCCAAGATTAGAGCAACGTATATTTAAGGGTGTGTTTTTGCAGATGCTGGTTGGGACATGAAGACAAATGTAGGAGTGATTAATGCTGAGAACAAAGTGCGAACTTTGCTGGGAGAAGAAAATATTTCTGGAACCAGAAGCTTTAGTTAACTTTAACTAACCCTATCAGTTTTGCCACTAAGTGGGTATACACAGGGCCAAAGAGGAAGGGTAGGAGGGTGGAGGATCTTCACGAGATGAAATGGGAAGCTCTCTGCAGTTCTTTCGAGAAGAGGGTTTGGAGGTTCCTTGAGGGTGGGGAACGGTTGCGACACTGGGATTTCTTCTGGACTTCTGGGAGAAATGATGAAACCAAAGGAAAACAGTACTAAGGCTGATTGATGAACTCGTTGTGATGTTCGCGAATTCAAAGTAGATTCTAATCAGATCCCCCCCCCCCCTTCGGTTTGCGGAGCCAGCCCTAAGCAAGATTCGCCAAGCTGCTTCATCACTCCCAGCGATTCGCGGTGCCAGGAAATTCTCCTGCCTCACCCGAGTCCGTCTTCCACTCTCCCCTGGCAGAGCGGTTCATTGCCAGCCACTTCGAGGCTTCCCGCGCAGCAGGCAGCACCCCCTTCGGCCTCACACCCACCCGGGCCTGCAGCGTAGCGAAGAGGCAGAGAAGCCAGCTAACTCCAGGAAAACTTCCTTGCCCGAGATGACTGGGGTGCTCCTGCTTCCCCAGCCCTCCCACGCCGGGCACCACGGCATTCATTAAAGTGGTGCGGCGGCGATTGGTGCTCTACCGCCCGGCGGGTTCTGAGCTGCAGAGACCCGGACAACTCGCAGCGACGCGTCCCCCGCGAGGGACGGCGCCCTTTCCCACCGAATGCTCCCGGGACCCAGCTGCCGCCAGCCCGGGGCTGCTGGCGGAGCACGGTTAGTGCAGGGCGACTTTGAGCCACGATGCTTTGTTTTCCTGCCGCAGGCACCCGAGGCGGTCTCTCCTCGGCAGACTTAACCCGCCTGCAGCAGTAGCCATGGAAGTTGCGGCGGCACCGATGGGCAGGGAACCGCTTGGCGCGGCATCTTTTTTGGATGTTTTTTCTCTGCACAGATCATTTCTTTCCTCCTTCCTGGGGTAAGTGAAAGCCAGCTTTTAAGAACCAAAGGGTGGAATTGAGGAAGGGGATTGCAGTAGCACAGAGGGTTAATATGTTAAGTTGTTTTCCTGGGGGTGGGGTTCCCGCCTAGTGCGGTCCATTGGAAATACACAGTTTAGGAGTTGGACTTGATTGCAGGCACATTAGGGGAAGAGGTGTTGGGATTTATTTTATTTTTGCTGCAAACTTGTCTTTGTCCACGTTCTGAGAAGGGAGAATGAAAGTGGATGCAAGAGAAAGCCCCAGGAGTTGGGGTGGGGGGTGGGGTGGCTGGCACCAGAATGATTTAGCAGAGAACTGATCCTAAGGGCCAATGACTAGAGCAAGCCTTTAACCCAGACCAGGAGCTCTAACCCCCTGGTCGTACTCTCCCACCCCAATGGCACCCACCCCAAACCACCCCAGCATCCAAATAACCATGCCGATGCCTCCCTGAGAAAGGCTCTCCAGGGGCCAAAGTGGCTTCTTATGAGGATCTGCAACCTGCCTTGCATATAGGGGGTGCTCAGGAAATGTTTGCTGATTGACTGAATGATACATCCCAAGGCTGCCTTTTGTGCCACAGGAATTTTCTTTGGACAGTGAACTGATGCCCTGACGTAGACCCCAGGGCACCAGGATAGTCCAGTTCATTTTGCAAAGGCAAAGAGCTGGAGTCTTAGATAATATAGTACTTAGATCTTTATCTTCCAAAAGAACCCATCTGACAGCTTCAGGGTCAGATCTATGGGTCCAGGGACCAGATGAATTCACAAGGTTCTGGCATAGTGAAGCAGGCACAGGCCTTTGGGTCAGAGATTTGGGTTTGGATCTTGATGTTGTGACCTTGGATATCTTCTTTTACCTCTCTGACCCTCGGTCTCTTCATCTATAAAATGAGGCCAGTTAGAGCTTCCTTAAAGTGATGGAAGATTAAGGGAGAGGAAATCAGAGAAGGTGAGGAGGGCATTTGATAAATGTCAGTCTTGTCTTGGAGGATTCAGGAGAGAGGGTATCTTGGGTTTGCTGACTTCTCTGTTGGCACTTCACTCACTCTGGTGTAGGTCAAAACACTGCGTAGCAGTTATGGCCCCAGAAACAGTTAAGGAGGAGCAGGCAGCGCGAAGCTTGGAGCCTTTCTCAGGAGCTTAGCAGCTCCGGAGCTGCCTCTGGGCTGGGCAACAGAATTTACACACATACTGGTGTTTCTGGGATGTGACTGAGTGATGACGCAGAAATTCGTTGTTTGCTTCATTGCAGCACCTTATCCATCATCCCCTCAGCCCTCTTCTAGTGGAGGGAGGCAAAGTGTGAGAATGCAGTCACAGAGAAGGTGGCTCAGAAGCACCTGGGAGACCTGCGCTTGCCCAGAGGGCTGGGGAGTCAGAGTAGGGCCATCCGCAGTTTTGCCTGAGCAAGGTCTGCAGAGAACTCAGGGCTCCAGCCAGGGCTGCCTGTAGGGTCAGTGACAAAGCACGAACCAACCTTCCCACAGCCCAACCTTCTGTGGATCTCACGCGGGGAACTTAGGAGCCTGGTTGTGACATTAGGGGTGGGGTGGGGTGGAGTGGGTGATGAGAAATGTGCTGTAGACACAGCGCTCCCCAGAGGCCTCAAGGCGCCCTAGAATGGTGTACAATTCAGAGAACAACTGTTAGTGTAGGGTTTAGAGCCACTGCCAGCAGCTTGGGATGACCTTGGCAGTCACTTTCTCTTTCATAAGTAAACACAACGACAATCTATTCCAACGTCGTAGCACTAGACAGTAAGCTCCATGAAGGCCAGATCCATATCTGTCTTCTCTGCCATCTCGCCAGCACCTTGCACGGTGATGGCTCATAGGTAGGAGTTCAGTATATATATGTTGAATGAACACTGAATTTTAGAAATCTCGTCTATAACCCAGAGTAGGATTCAAGCTACTCCCTCTCCAACACTGCTCCAAGCAATTCATGCCTTCATTTAGCGAGTATTTCTTGAGCATCTACTACGTGCTAGTCTCCGTTGCTAGTCATCCGACGGAATTCGTACACCTCATTGATATTGATACTTCCAGTGGCCCCTTCAGAAGCATCTCAGCCCCACCTGACTCTTCGGGAGATCGAGGACCCACCGCGAACCCCTGTGCGGCTTCAGGTGGGGACAGGGGAAGGGGAGTGCCGGGTGCGGAAAGGCTGCAGGGCAACCTCTTCCCTAGAACACGTCAATGGTCCCTTCACCTGCCGGTGCTGGGTCCCAGGCTCCCGGGGCCGCCGCTCCCCAGAGTCGCCGAGCTCGGCAACTCCTCTTTCCTCCGGGGCCGCCGCGTCTCTCTCCAGCTCCCCTCCCCGGCCTCCTAGCGGCGGCCCCAGCGGGCAGCAGATAGCTGGGGAAGGGACCGGGCTGCGCCTGGGGAGCGAGCTTTCCCGGGCTGGGAGAGCGCGGCCGATGAGGAGCCGTCCCAGAACAAAAGGCTCATGGCTGGCACCGGCCTCCTCCGAGCGAGCTGGAGACCTGGGCGCGGGGCGCAGGCGGGAGAGGCCGGCGCAGAAAGAGACTGAAGTGAGAAAATGAAGTGAGACAAGAAAGGGGGGCGCCCAGGGTAGGAGCGGTGAGAAGAGGTCACCCCCGAGGCCGAGGTCTGCGGCGGGGCCGCCGCGGCCCTCCCTCCGCCTCCTGCAGCGCCTTCCAGGCAGCGGAGCGTGTCTCCAGCTGCAACTCGGCGGAGCGCGCCCCGGTCGCCTCCACGCCTGCCGGCCGCCGAGCC